CTTAACATATTCAATTGGTTTTCGACATTTGGACATTATTTTTTTATGCTCTTTCGGAAAATGAAGAAAAATTGAGAAATTCCAAAAATAGTTTTTTGGTGACGTCACACTTCACCACTCTATACTTATGTGACTATTATTTATTGTCTCTTACTTTGCCCTAGGTGATCTTGGAGGACTGATCGGTGTCCATATGGGAGCTAGCCTCCTAACACTCTTCGAGTTCGTTGATTACACCTTCGTCCACAAGATTCTGCAAATTCGCTTCTTGTGGAGGAAAATCAAGTCAAGATGTAGCCGGGATAAAAAGGAAAAAGAGACTACCACGTAATCAGTGGCATAGCCAGTATATATTATGGCGGAGACGGTAAATGCTCCCACACCCTCGTTTGAAAGCGATCGGATCGAATTTGTTGTTTCTTAAACTTTTGAACTTTTTACCTATGCACACTTGAATGAAATAGTAGGTCGGGCTCTGAAGATTTGTTTTTCTCCATATGGAAAGGGGTGGCTCGGGGCATCCCCGGCCTGAAATTTAGTAACTGTTCGGAAATACAACCCCTTCTACTCCTAGTATAACTAGCTTATAGCTATACAAACTTATACTAGCTAGGCTGGCCGACTGAGCCACGGCGTGCCCTATGTAGTATACGGTACTCATTCGCAAGACCTAGGAAGGCCAACTTCAAATTTCGAAAAGTTCTCCAGCTAATTCTTATCATCGGCAATAAGATCTAGATCCGCCACTGATTATTTGAATCTTTCCAGTACTGCACTGTCGCAATGTTCGAAGATGGCGACCAACGCGCGCTCGTGAGATCTGATTCGTTGAAATTTTATCTTGCACTGCGTGACGTCATCTACGGGCCATCTGATTGGCGAGAAGTTTATGTTCTCAAAGATTTATATCTAGAAGCTGGTTGCGAAAGAACTTTTAGTCGAATCCCCAATTGATTAAGTCTTAAAGACTTGAAATATGTTAAGTCTAAAAATGGATTTAAAATTTAAGTCCTAGAAATTTAAAGATAGTACACCTATAACTCTATAACCCTAAAATGCAATCGCAACCATAATCTTGGTCTATATCTTCGTCGAAATAATACTAATAATAGCTATGAGGTGTTTTGGTCTAGTGGATAAGTCGTTGGACTGTGGATCACAGGGTCCGCGGTTCGAGTCCCGTCATGGCACTAATGTCCTTTGGGAAGATGTAAACCTACATTTGCCACTCCTCACCCAGGTGTTAAATGGGTACCGGTAGGAACTTTAATCCTTTTAATTAATGCTCTAAGCACCTTCCGTGGTGGGTAATAATTATGAGCTATAAAAACATCAAATATTATGATTATGATATTCTTACTCATACTTGTTTTAAAAGCAACAAATGAAATAAGATTTCTTTCTTTTTTCTACATATTATTTTATTACAAAAGGCGAATCTTTAATAAATTACTAGAACATGTATGCACAGAGTAATACACACTATTGTAGACGATACTAGCTTTCACATTTCAACTGCATGTAACATCTATACATCATTAGTTTGTAGTAATCTGATATCTAGTTATAAAAATATGAAAGAGAAAGTAATTTGGCATCATTAAGGGTTTTGTTTATAATATTCACGTGTGAAGATTTCGCGAAAGGATTTGTGTATACCAAAGGAATAAAACATTTCTTTGCAAAATAAAAGTAGTGTAATCATTTATTTATTTTTTTCTTCTTTTGATTCGCCGTTCTTCAAAGAATATACAGACGTTTTAATCTAAAAATGTACAGGAGCTGAAATAAACTTTCATTTGGAGTGAAAATCCACGCTTAATATAGTGGAGAACCACTCTCAAGAGATTAATTCAACCACTATTTTGGAGTGGATTTCACTCTGACTTAGAGTGGATTCAAGTCCAAAAGGATGCGATCCATTATGACTCCTATACAGGGGCGTCGCTAGACCTTTTTCAGTGGGGGGGGGGGGGGGGGGGGAGGGGGTGTAGAGGCCAACGATTACCGACGAAAGTAGCCACCAATTACCGACAAAATTAAATTTCCGATATCTACAAAGTCAACCCTATAAACCTGGGGCCGAAGGCTAAATTGTTTTTCCTATGGACTATCTATAGTACTTGCATATGCGCAAAATGGTCATTTTCCTCGACGACATTAATATAAGAATTATTTCTTAAATTTAGTCAGCATCATAGCTATATATTTTAATGCAGGCGCGGAGCTAGGATCTTATTTTAGGGAGGGGCGGTAGTGAGCAAGAGAATCACTTAAAAGCGCGCTCATAAGGGGGTGTGGGTGATGAGCCTCCCGCGCGAAGCGCGGAAGCTTAGAAGTTTCCTTAAATTATTAGGAAAAGAAGACGATTAATTGTACCGTTTTCGACTGGTAATCCTAGGCTGAATGAAGTTTCCCTCCCGCGCGAAGCGCGAAAGCTTTGACGTTTTATTAAATTATAAAAAAAAGAAGACGATTTGCTGTACCATTCTCGACTGTTTATCCTTTTCTGAATTCAGTATTCCCCCCGCGCAAAGCGCGGAAGTTTTGACGTTTCATTAAATTATTAGAGAAAGAAGACGATTCGTCGTACCGTTTTCGACTCTTAATAAGCCCTATTCATCTGAATTCAGTTTCCCCTCTCGCGCGAAGGGCGAAAGCTTTGACGTTTCCTTATATCATTAGAGAAAGAACACGATTCGTTGTACCGTTTTCGACTTTAAATAAGCCCTATTAATTTTGTCTGAATTCAGTTTCCCCCTCTCGCGCGAAGCGCGGAAGCTTTGACTTTTCCTTACATTATGAGAAAAAGCAGACGATTCGGTGTACTGTTCTCGACTCTTAACCCTAATCTGAATGAAGCTTCCCCCTCCCGCGCGAAGCGCGGAAGTTTTGGTTTTATTAAATTATTAGAAAAAGAAGACGATTCGTCGTATCGTTTTCGACTCTTAATAAGCCCTATTCATCTGAATTCAGTTTCCCCCTCTCGCGCGAAGCGCGAAAGCTTTCACGTTTCCTCATATCATTAGAGAAAGAACACGATTCGTTGTACCGTTTTCGACTTTTAATAAACCCTATTAATTTTGTCTGAATTCAGTTTCCCCCTCTCGCGCGAAGCGCGGAAGCTTTGACGTTTCCTTACATTATGAGAAAAAGCAGACGATTCGGTGTACTGTTCTCGACTCTTAATCCTAATCTGAATGAAGCTTCCCCCTCCCGCGCGAAGCGCGGAAGTTTTGGTTTTATTAAATTATTAGAAAAAGAAGACGATTCGTCGTATCGTTTTCGACTTTTAATAAGCCCTATTCATCTGAATTCAGTTTCCCCCTTTCGCGCGAAGCGCGAAAGCTTTTACGTTTCCTCATATCATTAGAGAAAGAACACGATTCGTTGTACCGTTTTCGACTTTTAATAAACCCTATTAATTTTGTCTGAATTCAGTTTCCCCCTCTCGCGCGAAGCGCGGAAGCTTTGACGTTTCCTTAAATTATTACAGAAAGAACACGATTCGTTGTACTGTTTTCGACTCTAAATAAGCCCTATTAATTTTGTCTGAATTCAGTTTCCCCCTCTCGCGCGAAGCGCGGAAGCTTTGACGTTTCCTTAAATTATTAGAGAAAGAAGACGATTCGTCGTACTGTTCTCGACTCGTCTAAATGAAGTTTTCCCCTTCCGCGCGAAGCGCGAATTTTTTGGCGTTTCATCACAATATAGAGAAAGGAAGACGATTCCTCATACCGTTTTCGAATCTTATTATCATTAAGCCCTATTCATCTGAATTCAGTTTCCCCCTCTCGCGCGAAGCGCGAAAGCTTTGACGTTTCCTCAAATTATTAGAGAAAGAACACGATTCGTTGTAACGTTTTCGACTTTTAGTAAGCCCTATTTGTCTGAATTCAGTTTTTCACTTTCGCGCGAAGCGCAGAAGCTTTGACGTTTCCTTAAATTATTAGAGAAAGACGATTCGTTGACCCGTTCTCGATTCGTCTAAATGAAGTTTCCCCTTCCGCGCGAAGCGCGGAATTTTTGGCGTTCATCACAATATAAAGAAAGAAAATGATTCGTCGTACCGTTGTTGACTCTTCAACCTTGTTTGAATTTAGTTTCCCCGAAAATTTTAACCCTCTGATTTCTTTAGCTGATATTATAGGAAAGTGAAACTTCGAGAAAATACAAGTATTGTAATTGCAGTCACTCTCGAAGTCGTCACAGCGGGTAAGAAGTCGCAGTTCGTAGGGAAAAAAAATTTGTCGGCCGACCGACAATATACATCTCACCGACTTCAAACTTATGCATCGATGAGGATCAAGCAAGAATACCGACACAGCAACATATTTACCCGTGTCTTTCTTGCTCCCTCGACGAGACGACTCCACCCAACAACCCCCTTTTCTCTTTTACTCCCACTCCTCCTCTCTCAGACTCTTACCTCCCCTCTCTCTCCTCTCTTTCATCCCCCGTTTGTTTTGTTTCCCTTTCACTCTTTTTTTTCCTTTTTTTCCTTTTCTTTCTTTTCTTTCTTTTCCTTTCTTTCCTCTCCCCCCTCTTTTTCTTTTTTCTCTTTTTTTCTTCTCTTTTCTTTCCTTTCTTTTCCTTTCTTTCCTTTCTTTTCCTTTCTTTCTTTTCTTTTCCTTTTCTTTTTTTCTTTTCTTTCCCTTCCCCTCTCTTTTTTTCCCTCTCTTTTTTTCCCTCCCCCTTTTCTCTTTTTCCCGACGGCAGCGCAATTTTACCGACAATATCCTGACAGGTGGGGGGGGGTGTCGCACCCCTCACACCCCCCTCCCTCCCCCTTTGGCGACACCCCTGCTCCTATAGAGAGAGTAGATTTCCACTCCCCGCTTTTAGTACATCATTAAGCGACAGAAAAAAAAGTGCTATTCCTGCCACCTCGATCCATAATTCCAACTAGAGCCTCTCAGTGCATGGTATATTTGTTTATTATGAGCTTACAACGAAGAAAAAACAGTTTAAAAAAAAATATATATATATATATATAGGCTTAGTTGATTAGTCTACTGGAACAAACAATATTGGATTGCTCTTTGCCATCTTAACTATGCAATAATTAAGAAAATCATCATGTTAAAACTATACTAGATAAAGTTTACAATTCTCATATAAATCATGTTAGATATGCTACTTTTATTTGTATTCCATTCGTTTGTATTTAATGCTTAAAAATGCTACTTGGATCTTGAATTTATCTACATTTGGCGAATGTTGCTATGCATTCAAATTGGCAATGTTAAATCTTTCATCTTCGCTTCCTACATACAGCGTATAGACGCCTAATAAATATAAGATGTCTTGTATGACGTCATAATACACAAGGAAATATTTCAGTTATAGCAGGTTAACTTATGTACACACTGACATGTTTTCAAGATTTACTTATCTCATCTAATATTATGGACAAGGTTAGCAATTAGAGAAATTAAAAAAAAAATTGTATTTAAACCAAAACATGAACGAGAACATTTCACATACTACTCATTGCTAGGACTGCAACGAATGTCAGATATATGAATATGAGCCTACTTCATCGTTAATGGTGATCTGTTTTCGACTCACCAAACGACATCGTTTTTTAGAAGAAAAAAACATCTCATTAAGAAACAGTAACTGCTACTGCAGCCCTGTGATCAGGGGCCCGTTTCGTAAAGCTTGTTATCTATAACAACTGCTAAATTGCTATGAAAAATTTGCTCTCAGCCAATCAGATGCCATGATTTCAGTAGCCTGTAACAGTAACTTGTAACTTGTAATTGATATCAAGTTTTATTGAACAGGGCCCAGGTCCATGGTCGAACGCAGCATGAAGACCCCAAAGAAGGTCTTGTCGCTCCCGGTGTTGATTCGCAGATCGCCATTCGATACGCTCACGGTGATCCTATCGCCCTTATCCAGATGGAACACCCCACCGTGGTACTTCGTCGCGTATTCTTTGAAAGGGACGACGCTTTCCATCAACGGGACGTGGTTGCGATTTGTCGAAGAACGCTGCAGCAGAGAATGAACGGGAAATGACGTGGGTTACGATTGGCGGGAAACAAGAGCCATCTGTAAACGTGATTTGGCCAACTTAGTTTCAGTTGGTGCATACTCTTTTGTTTATGTGCTAGCTTGCTCAACCAGACAGTGTTAGCCATAGTAATATGCCCAACTTGAACCAAATTGGCCAAACTCTCCTAATCAATAGCTCCGGACACAAGTTCAAACTGCCACAATACCATAGCAATAGGAAGTCTGTCTTAAGTCCATTTGACCAAAGCATCTCGAATTTTCATTTCCGCCTGACAACTTAACTTAGCCTTTAAAAAACCCATGTTGTGTGTATAAAATACTGTACGTAGGTACGTATAACCCTTTAAAAATAAAGTACCATGATAACCCTGGTTCTTTGTCCAAATTACCATCCACCATTCGAACCATGGTATAAAACAATTGATATCATGGTTACCATGATTCGAATGGTGGATAGTAATTTAGACAAAGAACCATCAGTGGTTAGCATGGTTCTTATTAGTAAGGTATTCTCATTGTATGTAACATGACAAAGGTTTTAAGGATTAAGGAGGAAAAGAGGAGAAAAAGCTCAGATGACGCGGGGAAAAGAAAAATTTGGACAGCGGTCTTTGAAGTCATGATCATTCTTTTTTTAAGTCTGTAATAATCTAAGAAGAGGTAAGAAGGAGAAGGAGGACGAGGAGGAAGAAGAGGACGAGAGAGATTGTTTTTTAAATGACTGGTTACCATTGGCAACGCCTGCTGAGATGAGGGGTCAACTGTCGCTCCACTTTCCGAATCACTGAAGTAGATTTGAGTGTAGAGGTAGTAATAACCCGACTCGACGATTTCAATGCCATAGCTGTCCAGAAATTTCACATTGTGTGTTACGTTCACTTTCCATTCAGCTAAACATTCTAATAAACGAGAATAGAATGGTACAAAAGTATTACAATGAGGACAAATCTTGGAAAAGTTTACAGTCAATCATTATTGATGATTGATGATGATAGTGAGTTTTCTTGTATAGAGCTCATATCTCTCAGACCTAACATCTCTGGTTTTCCCTGATGTTCCTCCAATAGGCAAACTTTTTTTTTGTTCGTTGTTGTTGGTTTTTTTTTAAAATATAATTTTACATGTAGGCTTACTTCAAGATAAATGGACTGAGGAGAAAATTAACAAAGGGAAAGTAATAATGTAGGCTATAAGATGCAGACTTTGATACGATTTTGATTCAATCTAAATAACATACACAACAAACAGAGTCGCAAAGGCTTTCAAGAAACCAACTCATTGACAAGAGCAATTCCAACACCCTATAGTACATTCCATCCCACTTTATAAAGTCTGCGATCGAGTTAACGTAAAAGACTAAAGAACTGCCAAAGGGATTAAAGTACAAAAATGAAACAAAATATGTTGTTCTTTACACTATGAACATAACGGACAAAGAAAGAGGACAAAATATACAGTTCCTCAGATAGACAAACTAAGGAACATCCCTTCACTGCTATTATGTGAAAATGTGTAGAACAGGTGTCACATGCATATTCACCTGTTCTACAAATGTTTACATAATACTGTAGCAGTGAAGGGATGTTCCTTTGTCTACCACAGAGATTGTTGAGGGTAGAATGAGGAACTGTATATTTTGTCCTCTTTCTTTGTCCGTCATGTTCATAGTGTTATTCCTTACCCAATTGCATATCATTTCCCCTCCGTCCATTGTCTGTCCCGACAACGTGAGCGTAGGCTGATTTCGCCGCTCCCTCGTATAATGGTGGTGGCATAGCTGTTTGAGGACCATCGAATGAGGGTGGAGGTGAAGCACCGTGCCGACTTTCTTGATGCTACACGAGAAGTGGACAAAAAAAGGAGGGGGAAATATTTAACAGAGTGATCTACAAGTTAATCCTCTAAACCCTCTCGCACTCTGCCTCCCATTCCGGCTTTCTCTTACTCTCTCCCCCCCCCCCCCCCAACCCCAACCTCCCTTCTAACTTTAACTCCCTCTCTCTCTCTCTCTCTCTCTCTCTCTCTTAACTTACCGGATCGACGATGTTCATCTCGAGTCCCAGTCCATGGTTGTGCACGTAAATATAGAGGGTAAAGCAAGAGATGATCAACGCCAGAATCGCCGCGATGAAACACACTGCGATGGCGCAGGCGGTCGCGTTACAAGTACTACGTTGTTTCGAGCGGGAACTCAGCTTTTTCGAAAGCTGGCCTCTGCAGCTGTGACGTCGGTCGAGATGATTTTGCTCCCCCGTCGCCGACGATGGGATCCAGATGGAGGCGGGACTGTCGATGTCACCCACGTGGGCTTCAGAGTCCATCTTCGGTACGGTGGTCGAGGGTGGTCGGTAGAATTTGGTCCTAAGCTTGTGAAGCTTGTGAAGCTTGTGGATACGGGGATTTAGCTGTGGATGAGAAGCTCTCACAACGAACCGATTGGTGTTCGCGTATAAAGTACTTAACTGATTCAAGAGAAAGAGCTGTTGCGAGCAGTATGGAAAAAAACCTCGCTAAGTGCTCAGATTTTCTGTTGAGAAGTAGACAAGAACCGAAAAATCAACTGTCGAGTTTAGGGAGCTAACTAAGCTAACATTATAATCAATCGATTGAGTCCTAGTCAGAGGTCTTGGAATGACTCATGGGGATCCCTCGATGGATAGAATCTGACTGTATTGCGAAACACATCTCTTGTACCAGTAGGCCTATAACTTGGATTCAGGTTCTTTTCCAGACGGCGGGGAAAACCAAAGCTCTCAAATTAGATCACTTCACGAGACAAACAGAAATAACCGCAGTTTGAACTTCGTGCATGCGTTCAGAATGAAGAAAACTGTAGAATATGAACCGTTTAAACAGATTTTGAGGAGTTGATGTGCCTTGTCGAGTTTGCGCATATGCAAATTTGAAATGATGCAAATAAAATTCTCAATATTTATTAATTCTAAACGATTTCGAAAGTGAAGATTCGCTTGTTTGTCCTGGCAGAGTTGATATGCTGTAGACTCTGCTGAACTGTATTCCAGGACTGTATTACAGTATTCTATTCAGAGCAAGATACAAGCGATGCTTTGTAGTTATGTGCGGAGTGGAAAAACCAACGGGGATTCCCCGCGTTTTCACCACGCCCGCTTAATTCATGTATTCGTAGTGTGCAAAACAGACCCTTTGAGGAACCACGGCACGAGTGTGTCAATTTAGTCGATAATTATGCTATTCATTTTGACTCTCCATAAAGATTCTCATCTATTATTCATGTAAGGACATAGCAATAGAACATGACCCTGACAAAGGATTATGTCCACAATCAATAGTCTCATCATGACCGTGAGATGCATTTATCTTGCACGATTTCGACAAAAGGTTTATGGCTGCAAACTAACATTTATTATTTATTTTTCTACGTGATATTTTTTTTCCATCATTCACAGGTGTTACAAATGAATATTTGATAAATATTCAACAAAGATTGATAATTACATACTATAAATGAAAGCTACATAACATACGGCTCATTTGAACAATTCAACATCATTATAGTGTATTTTAAGATTTCACTTCAAATTGACATAATAATAATACTAAAGAATATTTATTAAGCGCATAATACATTGGAAATTTCTCTATGCGCTTTACAATTATGACACATTTGAATATATAAATATACAACAAAATAATTAACAAAGTAGTTAAGCAAATAACACAAAATATTCATGGGAATATACACCTATAATTACACCTAATGCTACGTTTAAACTATGTTCCCGGCGGCCACGGCAACCACGTTTCAGGCCACCGTGGATGAAACGGGATGGACGTGACACAACGCGGGGGACCGTATGGGCAAACGTGACAGGCCGTGATTGCCGTGGATACCGTGTCAGATTTTTAAACTGTCAAAAAAGTTTGCCACGGCAGTCACGGTGCGGATGAGAAACCTAGTAGGCCGTAATAAACCGGGGTGAACGTAGCAAAACGTGACAATCCGTGATAGGCCGTAACTATACTTGGGGATGGTCCGTAGTGGAACGGTTTAAGCGCCCGGCACGCTACGGTGCGTTGCGTTCTACTACGGTCTGACCCAACGCGAGGTCTCAGGATACCATGATTGCTATTGCTTGGGAGACCTTCTTTTTATACCGCCGGCACAGACGTGATCCAAAGCTGCCCTGCGTCCACGTTTCATCCGTACAAAGCCTTGACAGAACGTGAAAAACGTGTCAGACCTTGATCAGAACGTGGGAAACGTGAGGGACCCCATCAGAACTTGACGGGCCTTGAGGGAACGTGCTGGCATCCGTGGTAGAACGCGGGCCGAACCGTAGTGCGCCTTGGAGCCTCCGGGACTCAGCACCCCCTTCCTCCCACGGCCCGTCACGGATACCGTGGTAGACCGTGAGAAAACTTGGCAAGACGTAACAAAACTTGAATGAAGAGATAAAATTGGTCTAAATCCCACGGCGCACTACGTTTCGGGCTAACGGGGCTGCCGTGGCCGCCGGGAACATAGTGTAAACGAAGCATAAGTAAATCTCTATGACATGACATATTAAAAATTCAACAGACACCCATCTGTCGAACCAACCTCCTAACCAGCAAAAGGACAAAGCAGTTCTCTAGGAAACCCTCGAAAACAAACAATTTTTCAGTGCTCTCCCAAAGCTGTCAGTGCTCCCAACAACTCTAAGCTGGTCAGAAAAGTTGGTTCCACGAGACAGGCGGTGCCGTTGAAAAAGCACGAGAACCAGTACGTTTGGGTTGATGTGGTAGGGATAGTCAGGATATCAAGTTTAAGTTCAAGTTCAAGTTCTATGTTGAGGAGCGGAGATTTCTACCGGGTATGTAAGAAGAAATGATTTTAAGAAGATAAGTCGGGGATTTGTGAATCATTACCTTGTGACACAACATAATAACTTTATAAACAATTCTTTTTTTTACAGGTAACCAATGAAGGCGAGTCAACATAGGTGTTATTGGATCTCTTTCCCTTGCTCGTTCAACAAGTCTTGAGCATCTAACACACATGAATTGGAATCTATGCAAAAGACAGACAAAACAAACAAACAAATCAGCTTACACCTAGGCGTTAAAACAAAAACAGAGAGAAAGAGAAAGTACAAACCAAAAACAAAAGAAAAGAAAAGAAATAGCTTTTTGGCGTCCAATGAACATGTTATGACATTCTCATTTTCCTTCATTCTTCCTTCTTAAAAAACTTTATGAATATAGTATCAAAGCTTAAAACGACTTTATTTTTAAAAATTCCCACTTACGATGGTGAATTCCAATGGAGTTATGATCGATTTCCAATTTGTATTCTTGACTTTTACTTCTAAAAGCATTTTTATTTCTGTCGTAGAGGTTGTTATTTTTTTTTCCCGACTGCGATAAACCATAAACTTGATCAACAGAATAACATGATTCACTAATTTTTCAAAACCTCTATTTGTATGATTTATCCCTAAATGTACTTTTTACCATGTCAGCCTAATGCATTAAGTGTCCAATTTTATTAAAACAAATAAATTTTTTAAATATTTTTTTTTAAACCCAGTTCGATATTAAAGCAACCCTCTCAAAACCAATAATGTATTAATTTTGAGATAAATTATATCTCAACATGTGTAAACTAAACAGTTTAAAACATGTGTTTTAACGTTTGGAATATTAAATTTTATTGATTTTAATATTTTTTTGAAGCCTTAAAACTTTTTAATCCGGTGGAATTGCGGCTAAGGCTATATCCAATTTGCCGTTTCTCGCCAAAGTCACCGGGAAGATGGTTGCTCAACGACTGACAGCTAATCTTTAAGAATACTTAAAGGGTCCCCATGAAATTATTCTTGCAGGCAGTATATAAGAGACATCATAGTGTTGAGACAGCTCTTCTAAAGATATGTGATGACATCCTTAGATCAATCGATGGCAAGAAGGCCCTCATGATAATCCTACTTGATCTGTCGGCTGCTTCGACACCATTGATCAGGATGTGTTGCTTCAGAGGCTAAAGGATGATTTTAGGGAAGAGGAAACAGCTCTGCAGTGGTTTCACTCCTATCTCGTTTCAAGAAGGCAAGCTGTCAACATCCATGGTACCCTATATGAAGGGTTCTATATAGGGCAATTACCCGCTGGGCAACCACCCCCCCCCCCCCGGTCGATTACCAGCAGGGCAATTCCCCCCCCCCCAGGACAATTACACCCCAAAAAATTAACCTTGAAAAACTACCCGAGGACAATTACTCCCTAGAAAATAACCCACTAGGACAATTACCCCTCGTGGACATTTACCCGCGAGGAATATTTACCTCCCCCCCCCCCACCCCCCCCCGAAGACATTAGCCCCGAAACGTTTTGTTTTTCTTTTATTAAAATCAACTTGTTATCAGGTTGGACTTTTCTTTTTAAAAAGGGGGGTTTTCGGGGAGGGGTGTGTATTTGTCCTCGGGGTGATTGTCCTTGGTTGTCTTTAGAGGCGTATTTTTTCCTAGGGGGTAATTTTCCGGAGGTTATTGTCCTTGAAAGTAATTTTCCGAGGGTAATTTTCCGGGGGCTGAATGTCCATGGGGTAATATTTTCCTGATACGTATCTGAAGAAGCCTCTCTACACTATGGTGTTCCGCATGGATCAGTCCTCGGACCACTACTTTTCACGCTGTACACTGCCCCTCTCAGTTTTTTCAATCGCCATCTATGGTACTCGGGGGCCCTTCTCGGTCTTCTACCCCCCACCCCCTTTCCTAATCTCGATCGGACCTCTCAACTCCCCCCCCCCCCCCCATCACTTTCCCCTTTCTCTTGCTCTCTCTCTCTCTCTCTTTCTCACACTCCCGTATCAGAAGGGAGTCTAGTATATAGTCCCGCCTTCAATCTTGTTTCAACCACCTTTCAAAAAACAAAGTCACATAATTTATGACGCGTTTTTGTATATTAGGTGCTGGACGTTTAATTTTCATGTATATGGATACAAACAGATTTTCGCAAAAATGAAAGACAAAAATATTTTAAGAATTACGAACATCACATCTGAAATATACATAAATGTCTTTATCTCTTTCTCTCTCTCTGCCATTCGTCTGTTCCCATTTTGGGTCTAAAATTTGAAGGAGCACAGTAACAATATTAGGGAGCATATTTTCTATAACCTAGCTGTGTCCGATGCCCCTTCAATGGCTATCGCTGGAACAACGCTTTGTGATTAAAGTCCAGTGATTACTGCGAATATTTGTAATATTTTAGTTTGTTTAAACTATATTGATTCTTCCTTTCGTAGAATTCTGGGTCAAATAAAATGAACCTACAATATGTTTATTTGATAAGCCTGTTTCCTATTTTGATACGATTGCATTGTATCGGTAACAACTTTGTTTTATGTGTACCCGTTTTTATATTCATATTCATTGTTATATATTGTAAATGTCGTAGAATTGTCAGGCTTATATTATTATCAGACTTTATTATTATCAGACAAGCAAAAAACTATCTTATACACACATGCATTTCTGAGGGAGGGGATGAGGGCTGGGGGCTTAAGCGCTCCGTAAAATTGTTCATTCCCCCTCCCCCCCCCCCCCCCCAAAAAAAAAAAAATATATATATATATATATATTATATATATATATATATATAAATGATAATAACAATAATAAAAAAATTCATAATAATAATGAATTTATTTATTTTATTTATTTATTAGTCTTTTTTTAGTAGGGTGGCTCCATCAGTAGTTCAATATTGTTTTCCGTGGAGGCCCTACAACATAAATACAAAATTAACAAACATATTGAAAACAAACAATCCAAATCGAAACAAAGTGAATTAAGTTACAACATTTTCGAACAAAAGAAAAGAAACAAACACAACACAATGGACCAGTTCAATGATTTAAATTATTATAGCGCCAAAACAAAAGAGTAAATGAAGAATTTGATGGTGCATTTTTTTAAAAATTAGGTAAAGTATTCCAGAAAGCCGCACCATCAAATGAAAAACTTTGTTTCCCCATCTGGGTTTTTATTTTGGGTAAAATTAATCCTGCGTTTTGTGCACTGCGTGTTCTAATATTATGTAAAGATTGGGTTTTTTGAAACATTTGTAAAATATAGACGGGAGTTTAATTTTGAAAAACAGAATAAATTATTTTACATTTGAAATAATTCCACCTACTTTGAATGCTTACCCACTTGAGTTTATTTAAATTTTCTTGAGTTGGGGTTCTTACATTGGCCCCCAAGATTACTCTGGCCATTTTCTTGTGTTGTTTAATGATTACATCTCGGACATTTTGTGAACAATTAGACCATGTATTACAACATTGAATATTCAAATAAAGGCAAAATTAATGCATTGGCAAGAAGCTTCAGTCCCTCCAAAGTTAGGTATCTTTTTGAACGACCAAGTAATGCTATCCTTGACCCTATCTTTTTACTTGTTTTTGTCACGTGTTCTTTCCAGCTCAATGTTGGATCTAGCCAGACTCCTAAGTATTTATAGATATAAACCTGAGAGATTTGGTGTTGCTCGAGTTGAATGCATATAGATTTTTCAAGTTTAGCCAATTTCATTTGTGAACCAAATAACATAAATTCTGTTTTTTTGTGGTTTAATGCCAGATTGTTTTCTTTTACCAACTCATAAACTAGTTTCCAATCAAAGTTCAAGGCCGATTCAATGTCCTCACTTTTTTTACTACTAAAAAACAGTACAGCATCGTCTGTATATAACATTACTTGGCATTTTGATACCACCTTAGGAAGATCATTCACCATGACAGTAAACAACAACGGGCCTAAATTGGCGCCTTGTGGTACGCCTGACAAAGTCGTACCCCAATCTGATTCAAATTTTCCGAGTACAACTTTTTGTTTCCGATCACTGAAGTATTCCATGAACCAATTAATTTCTTGACCCAGTATACCGTACTTACAAAGCTTTTCTAACTTTATTTTACGATCTACAGAGTCGAAAGCCTTGCGCAGGTCTATGAAGACCGCGCCTGTCATGTGACCCTTATCCATTTTGTCTTTAAATAAAATCAGAAAAATAGATTAAAACAGTATGGGTACTATGACCTTTACGAAAACCTGATTGATTCGGAGAGAGAACATTATTTTCTGTTAGATATTCTTGCAATTGATTATGTACTGCCCGTTCCATGATCTTCATAACGACAGGTATTATCGAAATGGACCTATAATTATTCAAGTCTGATCTCTCCCCACCCTTAAACAAAGGAATAACCTTAGCTTCTTTCCATTCAGGTGGTAGCTTGCCCGATTGTAATGACAAGTTGAAGAATTTAGTAAGGTGCTTGTAAATGACCGGGGTAGCTATTTTTAACAGTAGACAACTTATTTTATCAAGGCCAGGTGATTTATTGGTTTGCAATCTTTTCAACTCATTAAGGACAAAATCATCACTTATTTCATCAAACATAAATCTGAATAAGAAAAACAATGGTTGATTTGTTTCATATTTAGAATTATCGATTAAATGAGGTAAGAGTCCTGTTGGCGCATATTTTGAAATATTTCTGTCCGTGAATTTCAATTTTTCTGTTAAGGCCAGGAAATCCCTGCTTAAAGATTGTACATTATTTTCTTCTGTGCATCTTTAAGCCATTTCAAGACTTAAAATGAAGAAGAAGAAATGAAAAGAAAAGAGAACCCCCCCCCTCACACATTACCAAGGAAGGGGTTAATGTGGGCTCCATGGGTGGTGGTGGGGTGAGGGGGTGGTACACCAACAGCCGCCGAAAAAGGGGTCGGAGTTGCGTCCCTCAGCAAGTTTTAAAAAATGCAAACAATGACTATTAATCATAAATCAAACATTATGTTATGTGCCATTAATCTAATATCAATTTTGTTGCTCGGTCTTTACGCTCCCTTGCATAATAATCATTTTAATAATATTACCATAATTATGTAGTAAAATACCGAAAGCCGTAGGTATTACGCATCAGCAAAGATGTCATTGAGGCTGTTCACACCGCAATGAGATAGCGCGGTCTATCGTAGCACCCCCTTGGGCGTGTTCACACCGCAAGGGGGGACCGTGGGCGGACCGTGGATCGCGCTATCGTAGCGCGACCCACGGTCCGCCCATTGGCATTCGCCAGATCCACACCGCAATGAGATAGCGCGGTCTATCGTAGCACCCCCTTTTTTGAGAGGTCCTGTTGTCATGACGCGTGACGTCATGAGGTAAGAGCGGACAAAGATTTCGCGCGCTATTACTAATTAGGAGTGTTGAATAGGCCATTTTCGTAATGTAACCAAATTTAATGCATACGTCTTTGTGAAGTGCCTCAATACAAATGATTTCATTCACCTGATAAGAATAATAGTATTTCAATAGACAGAATCCAAACTGCATACATTAGTTGTTGTCAGGTTAGACAAACATTATGGCTTGACCTACCTAGCAACACTTAATATATGCAGTTGCATTCTGACTACTATTATTCCTATCAGGTGAATGAAATACTTTGTATTGAGGCACTTCACAAACACTTCAATTTGGTTACATTACGAAAATGGCCTATTGTACCGATTCAGATTCAGATCGCACCAAAATAGAATGAGTATAAAATTTCCCGCGTGTAGAACGATGAAATCCGGCGTGCTATCGTAGCTCGGAGGCTGTTCACACCGGCAGAGATAGCGCGCGCTAGACCGCGCTATCTCTGCGGTTTGGAAGGTACAACGTCGTTTCGGTCCGCCCAACAGCGAGCCACGGCGAGCCAAAATGGCGTGCCACTGGAGCACCTCTTGGGGTGGTCCACGAGGCTGTTCACACCGCAATGAGATAGCGCGGTCTATCGTAGCACCCCCTTTTTTCTAGCGTGCGCTAGACCGCGCTATCTCTCGTGGACCACCCCCAAGAGGTGTTCCAGTGGCACGCCGTTTTGGCTCGCCGTGGCTCGCTGTTGGGCGGACCGAAACGACGTTGTACCTTCCAAACCGCAGAGATAGCGGGGTCTAGCGCGCGCTAGAAAAAAGGGGGTGCTACGATAGACCGCGCTATCTCTCGTGGCCCACCCCCAAGAGGTGCTCCAGTGTTGGCTCGCCGTGGCTCGCTGTGGGGCGGACCGAAACGACGTTGTACCTTCCACACCGCAGAGATAGCGCGGTCTAGCGCGCGCTAGACCGCGCTATCTCTGCCGGTGTGAACAGCCTCCTTTTTTCTAGCGCGCTCTAGACCGCGCTATCTCTCGTGGACCACCCCCAAGAGGTGCTCCAGTGGCACGCCGTTTTGGCTCGCCGTGGCTCGCTGTTGGGCGGACCGAAACGACGTTGTACCTTCCAAACTGCAGAGATAGCGCGGTCTAGCGCGCGCTATCTCTGCCGGTGTGAACAGCCTCATTGTGTGTTTACACTAGAGCTAGTACTACTGCAGGGTCGAGCGATTTAAGTTGTGGGTGCATACCGGGGACGCCCCTCCCCCTCCCCCTCCCCCCTCATGGAAAAAAAAACTTCACAGCCCTATCTACTATTTATTGCAAGCTTATAGGAAAATACAAAGTTAGATCCAATCGCTTTCAAACGAAGGGGTGGGGTATTCACCGCCTCCATCATAGAGGCTGTTCACACCGCAATGAGATAGCGCGGTCTATCGTAGCACCCCCTTTTTTCTAGCGTGCGCTAGACCGCGCTATCTCTCGTGGACCACCCCCAAGAGGTGCTCCAGTGGCACGCCGTTTTGGCTCGCCGTGGCTCGCTGTTGGGCGGACCGAAACGACGTTGTACCTTCCAAACCGCAGAGATAGCGCGGTCTAGCGCGCTATCTCTGCCGATGTGAACAGCCTCTATACATGTAAGTATATGCTTAGTACGCCATGGGTCAAGTGCTAGTCTCCTTTTCTTTTTTATCCCGGCTACAAAATGACTTGAGTTTCCTCCAGTAGAAGCGAATGTACAGGATCTTGTGGGCCTGCTCGACGAAGGTGTAATCAACGAACTCGAAGACTGTGAGGAGACTGGCTCCGAGATGAACACCGATGAGTCCTCCAAGATCACCTAGGTAAAGTGAGAGACAATAAATAATAGTCACATATAGCGCTTAATCCTACCTTATTAGGCGCTTTACATTGAATTCAAATCCGCTCCGGTCCCTGGGGAGTATTCTTATTCCGGCCAGGTGCCATTTTACAAGCGCACACTAGTCAAACCAACATAACCACACTAACTCCCGCGTCCTGTTGGGTGCCCATTTAACACCTGGGTGGAGAGTGGCAAACGTAGATTAATGTCTTTCCAAAATGACATTAGTGTCGCGGCGGGACTCGAACTGTGAACCATGTGGTTCACAGTTCGACGACGTATCCACTAATAGATCACGACACGATAAAGGGAAAATGAAGGAAAGCTATGAAGGAAGAAATATGAAATATACTAACTAATAAGAAAAAGTACCCTATAATAACTCATAATATTTTCATGCTTTCACACAATTTCAATTGCTAAAAAGGTTTTGTTTTCTCTTTCATAACACTGAGATACATTGACTTAACTTCAGCGCCGGGAATATACATATCTAAACTTCAATATGTCACTACTTTACCCAGTGGCGGATCCAGCCGGCGGGAAGAGGGGGGGGGGGGGGGGGGGGCCCAATCCGCGAGAAAATATTAGTTGCGACTCAGCTGTCGGTGAATAAGCGGGGGGGGGGGGTAGGAGGCACTTTTTTTCCAATTTTTCAGGAAATATTTTGCGCCGTCTCAGTCAGCCGGTGAATAAGCGGGGGGGGGGGGGGGTGAGACCACTAATTTTTTTTGGACCTAATTCGTGAGATTTTTTTTTTTTTTTTGTAATTCTTTTTTTGTTGTTGACCCGTCAGCCCCCCCCCCCCCCCGTGGATCCACGCCTGCAGAGGATCCAGCCGTCGTCAAGGGGGGGGGGTAGCCAAATCTTAATACAAAATTTAGTGTTGTCTCAGTCGGCCGGCGAATAAGCGGGGGGGGGGGGGGCTTTTGTTTTTTGTTTTATAAAGGTTAACTTTACGTTATTATCCTATTTTTTTTTATCCTTTTGGAGGGCTGGGGGGGGGGGGCCGGGCCGGAAAAATCGCTACGTGGATCCGCCCCTGACTTTACCCCACAAATCGGATAAATTGTAGGCAGCCACGCTCTTGGTATGATGCTCGTTCATATCGGCAAAGTAAATCTCGACCTCTGCGATGTTGCTCCTATTCAAAAGAAAAAAAAATAGTGATCATTATTATTATTATCATTATTTTGTAGAAAAGTTTTGAATATTTGTGTATGCTGCCTTTTCTTCTTCTTTCTCTTCCCCTCTGTTTTGAGCGTGACCCCCTTTTATTGTTAATTTTGTATCTTGCGCTATATATTACCTGTAAATTTTGTGATTGTGATTGATTAGTTAGAATAAATACATGGATAACAATTTAAAAAATGAATAGTGATAAATATGAACGCAGAGACTTGCAATAATGGAAATAATTCTCCTCCCCCCCCCGTTTTTGCCATTCGAGAGGGGGGTCGCCCTAGTATCTATGCACCTAGGGTAGGTTGTCACCTATACATTAATTGGTGGGGTATAGCTGTACTCATCGGATAGCCTTTAATTTACTAATATATGAACTCCACGGCTATGCAATACATCCTCTCTGTATTTGAGCGACTTCTCGTGAACGTATCGTTATCATTAATTAATGAATACGTTAATGTAGCAATCCAATTTATTTCTGACGGTACGGGAGTCCTGCATAATAAACCTTCCAGATAGAACACGTACTAAACTCAGAGCGTAACCTACTTTTAGAACACTTCTGTCACATTGACTATGCGTTGGCCGAACGGCATTACTAATAATTAAAAAAACATTGCCCCTTGCAAACCGGGTTTTTATTGTGCACTCAAAAACAAGTAATGAACCCTTCCTAAACCCTAACATTTTGTCAGTTTAAATAAACACGGTAAATACATGAGATAGTTATCCGCATTCTATTATGCATTTCGTCGTATTTTTTAAATGTTTATTTTTTTTCTTCTTTAAAATGCTAAATGTTTTGTTGAATGACGAATATAGTCAAGGCCACTGACGAAACGTTTAGGGAGTAAACATGCCGTCCTCTGCTCCATTATATTTCATCATGTTCTAATGGAATAACTTGACCAGTACCACCCCCCCCCCGTATATATATATATATATATATTTATATATATATATATATATATATATTTATATATATATATATATATAGGCTCACGCTAGACTACAGGGATCACGTATTTAACTTACGTAACATCATCTCTAGTCCAGTTAAACTGATTCTGCAGCCGTTGTGAGTCGTCCTTTCCTGGTGCTTTCAAATAGCTCATGGTCATCTGGAAATGCTCTGTATAACATGCCCTCTGACAGTGGGAAGTGGTTAGGTTTGAATCTTCTTGGAGATCAAGGTCACAGTCAGCCGTAGAGGTGAAGAAGAAGAACAAAATATAGCCCCAAAATACAACAAAACAAAACGAACAACAAACAACAAAAATTTTAAAAATTGTTGATGATTTTGAATACAGTATTACATCTCACCATCCAAACGATTCTGTTGAAGGATTTTTCATGAAATCTTACATCATTTCTTGCAGGAGAAATGACTGCAGAGCCCACATTAGCTACATGCCCATTTTTAGGATACCACTGATTAATTAATATTCACAGAAATATTAATCATCGATATTTGTTTTTCATAAAAGTATTTCCTCACTCGTTATTTGTTAATTTTTGTTTGGTTCCTTTTACAAAATATCCATGTCCGTCAGTGAAGTTTCATGAATGATTCCATATCCTTCATTAAAAATCGATGAACATACAATTAGGTGACAAGGTTGTCGTTCTAATATAGTAGTTTATTTGTCAATGAATCTACATACCCACTTCGAAGTCATGTAGCCCACAGTCAATGATTTGTCTAACAGTACACACAGGAGATGGACCTGTTATGAAAAAGACAAGTGTTATTAAAAATGATAAACAATAGAGATAATAATAATATTGCTATGATGATTATAGTGATGATGATCTTGATGATAATAATAATGATGATGATGATAATTTAAAGCGCAACATTATAATAATGATAGTACTGATGATAATATCTGTAACAACGATGATGGTGTTCTTGTTGTTGAGGATGATAACAATACTTGTACAAAATAATAACAACAAGAATCTTCCCCCCCCCCCCAAAAAAAAAAAAAAAAAAAAAAATGACCTAAAAAAAAAGAAGACTGTTCGAAGTTGCCAGCAATAAACTTATTTTCAAAAAAAAGGCTTCAAACCCATCTTTTTAAATGCTGGGAATGACCAGCCAAGGGGGGGGGGGGGGGGGGTTGTCCCTCCTGAAGGCTGGTGCCGCCACCCCCCCCCCCCCCTTAATCCTGCCCCTCACGTACCTGGCATGTATGGGAATCTGCATCCACACGCTTCTGTGAGTTGCTTGGTTGCGCTTTCCGTCAGGCACGCCTCCTCCGAGTAAAAAGGGTAATACTCCAAGGGAGCGTCTCGACAATCAGTTTTGTATGGATGAGACATGTTCCGCTCCTTGAGAGAGGGACGAAGAAAGAGAGAGAGAGTGACAGGGGAGAGAGAAAGAGAGAGTGGAGAGAGAAAGAGATCAATAATCGTTATAGTACTGATGGGAATAGTATTCAAATTCAAATTCAAATTCAAATGAACATTTATTTTCTTCCAAACAATACAATTTATAAGTAGGAACATAAATATATTTAAAGAACTTGTTTTACAAGGAAGAAGGCGCGAAACCCGAAAAGCATAGCTTGTAGTGGGTACGCCCGAATACATAAATATAATTATACATTATAAATGAGAGAAAGGAAGAAAGGAAGAAAGGGATATCTCATAGTTTTGGGAACCACATTTCAATGTCGTAAAATAGTGTTCTGTGTCTGTCCCTTAAAGCCCCACTGCACTACTTATAGCTACTTGCGCCCTCTATACAGCTACCAATGCCTAAGCGGTACCCGCTGATCCACCATGATGCCCCCTTTTCTTATGTTAATTGAGTGCTGATTTGATCAGATAACCACCTGCCAGTGACCTTGCAGGGAGGTCTAATCCCTCCATGCCAAACTAGTGTAGAGGGGCTTTAAAGGGATAGTTGAGATCTTTGTTCAGACTGCAAATGCCTTCAAAACGCATGGTTATTGCTCTTATTCTTATTTATGACAATTCTAATGCCCTTTTTAGGACCTTAAATTGCTGTGAAAGTAATTTTAGACCCCAACATGTGTGAAATTTAGCCATTACGATCATACCGATTCAGCTCTACTTAAAAAAAATACGGTGACCGTAAATTAATTAATTAATTAATTAATAATAACAATACTCGGGCCGGCTGGTTGTGCGTATTATAACCAATACAAAAAGCCAACATGTGCATTGGCTGGAACAAAACGTGTAAGGCGTTTTTTTTTTTTTTTTTTTTTCAACAGCTGGTTCAAAATTGGTGCCCCACAAATATTAGAAATGGTTATATTTATGGATATTTCAGCCGTCTCTGAACCGATTTTGATCAAACAACGATGATTTTGTCCTTTAAATTGTATTTTATTTCAAATTTGACACTCAGTTTTTCATTATCTCCCCCCCCCCCAAAAAAAAATGGTGTGTTGCGCCCTCTGCAACAAAGCTCAACTATCCCTTTAATGTAGAATTTTCAATCACTTAATTGAGTTATCGAAATGTTAGTGATTTGTGGTTTGTGCGTTATTTTGTTTTCTTTCTGCAGCTTCTGGATCCGGTGATTGTTGTGCTTACCGTGTGCTTTTTGATGGCAATAAGGGTTCGAACACCTGGCATTATGGCGACCCCGATATCAGAGACCAGTGGTACGTCGCCTCGATGATGGACAAGAAGCTTCATGGAAATTAGAAATATAAATTATGACATTTAAAAAAAAAGGGAAGAAAACCCTGATATCAACTTGGTTTTAAAGGGCCACTCATACCCAAATAACATAGCCTTTTAAAACATGAATACACCTCTACTAATTAATATTCAAGCCTCTGATTTTTCAGAAAATCTCTAAATTGACCAAAAAGTGATAATAAATGTCTTCTTTGTTTTCTCAATTAATATCACAGTTTGCCTTTTAAAGACATTTTAATTCCTAAATCACCCTCCTTTTTACCGAAGAGGCTCCTGCAGTGACGTCATATGCTACTGTGCAATACAGCTCAGAAACTGGGTTTTTTTTCTTGAGCGTTTTGAGTCGTCATTTTTAAAGCTAGATTCCAGAATTATTGATGAATTCTAAGAAAAATCATTGTCATGTTCGGAATCTCCGTCAAAAATTATTATACATGTCTTTTTTTTCATTTTTTTGCCCGTTTTGGTTAGAGTGGCCCTTTAATAAAAGCAGAAAAATGAGAGGAGCATGCACGTCAGTTAAAGTTTGAGCAAAATCCGATTAAAAATAAGAAAGTTATGACTTTGTTCAAGTTGCGATCAATTAAACTTAAATTAGCAATGCTGTGACGTATCTTGCGGAATCCATTACACTGTTGACACATGCTCCGCCGACGATTGCTCCGCCGACATTTACTCCGCGAAACGCGACAATATTATAGCTCCGTGAAATTTGCACGGCGACAGTTGCTCCGACGACAATAATTGCTCCGCCGATATTTGCTCCCTCGACACTGGCTCCCCGAACAACACTTGCTCCTCCGACAGTTGCTCCTCCGACAATGGCTCCGACGACAATATTGGTCCTCAAAAAAAGAAAATTGCCCCGTGGAAGAAAATGCACTTTTGGATCAGAGAGCAATTTTGTCGTCGGCGGAGCATTTTTCTTCAACGGGGTACTTGGGGGAGGAGCAATAATTATTGTCATAGTAGCATTTGTATTTTTCCGGGCACTTTGGGGGAAGAGAAAATGTCGTCGGAGCAAATGTCGGCGGACCAAGTGTCGTGGGAGCAAATATCGGCAGAGTAACTGTGGAGCATTTATCTTCATGCCGAGCAATAAAAATTATTGTCGGAGGAGCAACTGTCGGAGGAGCAAGTGTCATTTGAGGGGCATTCGTCACCGGGCATTTATCTTCATGCGGAGCAATTGTCGGCGGAAAAATTGTCGTAGGAGCAAATATCGGCAGAGAGTACAAGGACAAATAGTTATAGAGAAGTAAAAGTGTGTGCATTGGTACAGGAGAGAGAGAGATGAGGGGATCGAGGGAATTATTCTATATTATTTTGATCTCTTTCTGATTAAAATTGAGTGCTCATTGTCGCCCTACTGTAATTATCAGGAATTCAATTATTCAACTTCTATCGGTTTTACATAGCGTGATTATTGAATTATTCAATATTTGAAGCGAAATGGATCATGTTTTGCATCCGATATACAATGTGAGCGTGTGTAATAATCCTATTTAAAAAAAGAATATTTAAGAGCTTGCCTTAAATCCAATCCCTTCCGAAGACAAGGCTGACACGTATTCATCAACCTCGGCATTAAGACGGACCCAAAGGCTTTGCCGCGTTCCACTTCGGTTTATTTCAAGTCTAATGTCGCCTTCGACGTCATCGTCGCTCTCAAACTCGCCATCGTTGAACGTGTAACAAACCCCAGCGTCGGTGATCTTCCTGGTGAAATTCGCTGCTCCGCACGCCTTCGATCCCCTCTTCCACGCGCACTCTAAAATCATGTCGGACGCTTGGTGCGCGTAGGCCAGCAAAATCTCATCCACTCGCGTTTCGAAAGCGTCATCAGTTGCGTTTATCCCGAAAGCGTCCCAGCCGCGCTCAGTCGATCCGTCAACGAGGACTTGAACGATGGCTCTAGAGGTCGGATTTTCGATGAGCGATGCCTTTACGAGGTTTGAGTTGCAGATGGTGACGGCGGGAAAGGCGATAGAAGATTTTCGTATCGTTGAAAATTCCTCTTTTGTCAAACTAGCGTTGAACCTATCCACGAGTTCTCTGCACGTCATAATTAAAATGACGTATGACACAAGCATGGCGCACACCCAAGATAATCTGAAAAATTAAAGTAATTTATTGTTAAATTGATACTGTTGACCATGAGCTACTTCTACATAAACTAGCTTGTATAGATTGTAGTAATAGGACTATTTATTGGTTCAAATCATATTTAGGGGATCGACAACAAGTGACCCAATTCAAAGGAGCCAAGTCGCATCCATCAACCATCAAATTAGGTGTGCCACAAGGTTCAATTCTTGGTCCCCTTTTATTTTCAATATATGTTAATAGTCTACCTGAATGTACTCCTGAAGGTATCATAGATTATGTATGCTGACGATACGACACTCGGTCAGTGCAAATGATGCAACAGTTGTAGAAGAAAAATTAACTCTTGCATTAAACAGAGTCATGGCATGGATTAAGGAAAATCGTCTTGTTCTTAACACTGAAAAAACTTGTGTCATTTTAATAGGCTCTCGTGCTAATCTCAAGAAAATTGAATCTTTCACCATTTCATTAAATGGCAATTTGATCAATAGAGTTCAATTCACCATATGCTTAGGAATTTTGATAGATGAAGAATTGAAATGATCTAAACAAATCGAAAACGTAAGTAAACTTACCCAGAAAAACATTAGCATGATAAAGAGAGCAAAGAGTTTTTTGCCTCAAAAATCCTTAAAGTTACTTTATAACAGTCTAGTGTTGCCACGATTAGATTACTGCTCTGTTGTATGGTCAAACAGATTTCATTCTCATACAACTAAGCTGCAAAAAATCAAAAGAGGGCCGCAAGAATAATATTGAACAAGACATAAATTATGACACACCGTCGGCTGATTTGTTCACAAGTCTTAAATGGATGACACTAGACAAGCGGTTTGAGTTAAGTCGCGTTATGATGATATATAAATGCGTTCATAACTTAGCACCTTCTTACCTTCAGGTAGGCGTAAATATCCTAATGATGTACATGAGCATCATACAAGGCCAATAGACAGTGGATGTTTACGTGTGCCTAGATTTCACACTGATTGTTATAAGTGTAGCCCAATTGTTTCTTCCATATTTTAATGGAATAAGCTAGATAATTCGTTGAGAACGGCTTCCTCTGTCAATTCATTTAAACAAAGTTGTAATTTTGCAAATGAGTATTATTATTTTTTTTAACTGTTTTGTATAAACGTTAAAAACGATGTAAATATGTTCATGTTTATTCAGGGCCCCATGGAAGACCACTACTTGTTGGTGAATGGGCTACCCTGTCAAAAGATTAGAAATAAATAAATAAATAAAAAAAGAAACCAGTCAAAAAATGTGTCCACAATGGGATTTTGACTTACAGACTATGGGCATATAGAGCTGATTTGCTTCATGGCATTTTCAAATGATTCTGTCGACCTTTCATTGTAACATGTTCTAAGGCTATATGCTTTAGAAGAAGAAAATTATAAAATTACGGCAGCAGTCCAAAGGAAGTGGATCAGGGGAGGGGGCGCTGTTCTGGTGATGCACAGAATAGGTCGGATTATAGACCGCTCGACCCCCCCCCCCTCCCCCGCGGGAGCTCCTACCAAGATTGTCATGGGATAGGGGGTTCCAGCTTCTTCTTAAAAGTAGAAGGGGTGGGGTCGGCTCTTTCGTCTTCCGGATCCACTATGAACCCCTCACGGAACCCCCTCCCCAACGCCGATTTACATCCTTTCTCTTTTAATGGTGTGCAGGAAAATACCAAATGTAAATCCAGGTAATTGCATGGTAATAGGTTGCGGTGTGTGCCAGCCTGTCATAATGGGTTATGATAATATAGATTTCAACGCTCTAGGCTTTAGGTATCACGTGTTTCTCTCTCTCTCTCTCTCTCTCTCCCTATCTCTCTCTCTCTCTCTCTCTTCCCTTCTCTCTCTCTTTGAATTTTTAATCACACGGAGCTAGGCATTGGGTTGATAGTGTCAAAACAAAATCAATAGAGCATTATTGTGAGCAAACAAGGACATGCATGTCAAATTTGTTTTATTGTAGTAATTACCTCACTCTTTTAACGAGTACATGGGGATACATTCGGCAGTTCCAGACATGACAAGGATAATTATAACGGTTGTTCATTATTTCAAAGTAGGCGAAGAAATCTCAGATTTATTTTAATTGTTATTCACTTATTGCCCCCTTCACATTTTTCTTATGAGTGCTTACGGATAGCACAAATTTACAGATCCTTACGATTTGGCCACTTTTACGACCGACTTAAAAGTTGTTACGAGTTATTACGAGCTATTCACGGCTCATTACGGATAATTACGAGTTAGGCCTATGACGATGTATTTACGGCAAAATTCCACGATTTGTTACGAGTTGTCACGGATAACTACGAGCAACTTACGGGCATTTTACGAGCTCTTTACGGAATGTTACGAGTATATTACGGAATGTTACTACTCATCTAAGCTTTTACGTGTTAGTTACGACATGTTTACGTGTGGTTGCGAGCGGTTTACGATACTTACGGATTGTTACGAGTTATTTAAGGAAAAATTAATCCGAGGACAATCGTAAGAAGATTTCGTGTTGCGAGTTGTGACGAGTTATAATTTACGGATTACCAGCGGGTTATTTACGGATGCTTGCGATTGGCTTCGAGTTGGCGATCCGTAAGGATTCGTAACTGAGAAAAATCCGTGTATGTGAAGGGGGCAAATTAATAAATGCAACGTGTTCCTCAATGGAGCAGGCCGGAGCGTGAAGTGCTGAAGATTTCTTCAAATCTAAAATCATCTTCCATTTAGTTTTTAAAAAAACTCCTTAGTGTTCGAGATATTGTTTAAAAAAGCCGTTTTGTTTAAATCACGTGAACATTATGTAAAACAGTTGGAAACAATATAATCATGATAATGTGCAGGTTTTAGTGCTGAAAAGCTCCCTGTATTTTGGATGGCAGAGATGAGATCAGGTTTGGTTTCCAAATAGGCTGACAGGAATGGATTTTTTTAATAATAAAAGACGGGGCATTAAAGGTAACTGTCATGGATTGGTTGTGCAGCCTCCTGAATCCGTCAGTGTCTATATGCATCACCTGCATCCATTCAGGCCTAAATGAATGTTTCCTCCCCGTCGTCTCTGTCACTGGCGCGACAGGTTTATTCTGTCTAGCAAACAGCGAGGCAATTAAACCTTATGACATCACCCAATAACACGGGTGGTGAATCATTTCTTGGAGTCTAAATAATGATTGATGTCGGTGATGGTGGTGATGATGATGATGACGATGGTGGTGGTTGTGGTGGTGTCGTGGTGTTGGTGATGATGATGATGATGATGATGATGATGATGGTGTGGTCACTGTGGTGATGATATTTTGATAATGATGATGATGATGCTGATGCTGATGATGATGATAATGATGTTGATGATGACTTTGGTGATGACGACAATTAAGATGATGATGATGATAATGATGATAGTGATGACGATGGTGACAAAGCAACGACTGATGCTTATAATGATAAGAATTAGAGAAATGGTTTGATACGATTAAAAAACAGATGACCCTTGATCCGGTTCTTGTTTTTCTTGGTAAGGAGCACTATTTTTTTCTTCTTCCAAATTCATGAGAAAATATTTAGCGTCGAATCAAAATCCTCTGTGTGCCCATGCCTTGAGCCATAATGCATGGCCGTCCAGAGGATTTCTTTATATTAGGGACCGGGGTAAAATGAAATAAATTATTAAAAATTTATTGCATTTTCTTTCTTTTTTTTAATTTATGGAAACTGCCCCCTACCCTAGCCCCCGCTGCGTACAGTCATGGTTCAGTGACAAAGTAATGACCTCGTTACTGTGAGGCCCCAAGATTAAAACCGTGTCGATGTGCTATATTAGTGCCCTTTTGTGGGGCATTAATCCTCATTACTGTCATTTATGAATAAAGGGCGTAGGTCCCCTAGTTGATAAGCACAGTAGCGTACACATGCTTTAGCAGTCACGCAAAACACACATTGTCAAATTATTATTTAATAATGTCTGAGAATGTATACTATTATCTAGATCTATTATTTTAAAATTATTTTTTAAATAATTCCATAAATTGGGTAAAACAAAAATATTCCAACTATATGAGCGACAGTGTAGTAGGCCTAGTAATAGTAGTTAGTAGAAGTACAGGCGCGGATCTACGGGGGGTTAGGGGATTTAAACCCCCCCCCCCCCCCCTTGGGCCGCCAAAAAAAAAAAAAAAAAAAAAAAAAAAAACGCACACTGGAGAGAAATCGCCTCGCCGCTACGCGGCTTGTGGACGATGCTTCGCATCGTCATTGGGTCACCCCCCCCCTTAGCAAAAAGCTAGATCCGCCCCTGTAGTAGTAGTATTGATAGTTAGTAGCAGTATTCTTAGTAGTAGTAATGATAATGGTGATAGATGGATTTACAGAGCGCCGTTTCTAACGATGATCGCTGAATACTATCCAACACTAATCAAGCTCCCTTATGAACATCTAATTCACATCGATTTTTTTTTTTATAATACATAATACAAGAATAATTATATCACAACAAATATGCAATGAAACGTTAAATAAAATGGAAATAGCACGATAAAAGAGGAACTAACTAGAAGCAGAGCTTGTGTTAGTTCCTCAGATGCTGATTTTACAATAAAACATGAACAAAGTATGCTTAGAAATCAATACATAGACAAATATGTAGCTAAGAAATTGGGAGGGGGGGATACAACAAAGAGAAAAAAGGAGAAGAAAAGAAGAGAAAAAAAAATTAAACATGGAGGAAAATAGTATAGAAGACAAAAACAAAAGCTCTAGAAAAGGGAAATTTGATCAGTAGAATGAGGGAGAAAGAGATTGAGAAAGAGATTGAGTCGAGAGTCAAACAAACCGAGTTCGATCATGTATATGTGTTTAAAAGTTTAATCTTTAATTTTTTTTTTAAAGTATATTTCGAACTAACCTGCGGATAACGCTGTATTTCTTATTGTAGACATATTTGATCCCATGTAAAGTTGTGATTCCAAGAAAGTCATTCAACAAGAGCTTAGAACCCTCCTCTATGGTCGACAACGTATCTAAGTCATCTCCCGAATCTTTCTTCTCGGGTGACTGCACGTCCTCCTCCTCCTCCTCCTCATCATCGACACTGCGGACGTCAATGTCCGTGTCGACAAAGGGTTCGACATGGTTTCCATAAGTTACCTTTTCAGATATGGACTCCACCTTGTTACTCCGGTCCAATTGATTCATTTTTGTTTATACCGACTCTGAGACTTTCCAGAACTGACCGAACGAACTGTGTGAAATGTATGTGATTAATGGATGATACGTACGGAGCACAGTAGGTGAATGGTAATTGAAGATGGTGATTGCGTAAATTGGCGGGAAAATAAGTATCGCTGCACCGAGCACTCATCATTATTTTGTAATAGAGCGCATGTGGGTTCACTTCCCTACTATCAGGGGCGTAAATCACGGGGGGATGGGGACTGCATCCCCCCTGGCTTGAGGTAGGGGGGATGGCCTGTACAATCACCCCCCCCCTGATATTACAAAAAAAAGAGAGACAAAAAAGGAAGAAGAAGAAGAAGACGAAAAAATGTGATTGTTTCAATTTCAGCATAATGCATGAGAAATTAGTTATTTTTTTATGTATGTAAAACTGTATAGCCTACACGTATACAGTATGTCACTATCATTAAGAATAGTTGGCGACGTGCGCGAACAAGCACTTCATAAACTTCAGAATAATTTTTCGTTATTTTGCAAGGTATTATTATAGCCCAGACGTAAAGTGCGCGAGCGCTTAAAAAGTGCAATCATGTACAGTATATGCCCGGCTCCCACTTAGTGTTAATTAGGGTACGCGTACGCTCGTTCCCTCCCTTTGAAAGCACCCCCCCCCCCCCCTCTCACCCTATCTCAGGACTGCCAACATTTCTGAATCCCCCTTTCGCCGGCTTTTCGCTGGCTTTTCCTACCTTGGAGACCCCCCCCCCCCCCAAACAAAAAAAAACCAAAAAAAAAAAAAAAAAAATCCGGATCACTGCTAAATGTACCACAACCCCCCCCCCCCCGACTTCAGGTGAGCTCTATAGTCGATCGAGGGGGACTGAGGGGCAATGCTTTTAATTTTCAAAATGAAATAATCCTGAATGAGCTTTCTAAGCTAGCAGGAATTTCAGGAATTTGATCCCGGGATTTGATCAATTTTTCTATGATATTCAAGATATTTTATAACCCCCTTTTTACATTTCTCAGGAGTCCAAAGAGAGAGAGAAAAAAACCCACCCCCTTTTTAAAGAAATTAAGAGTCGAGAATGGTACAACGAATCGTCTTCTTTCTCTAATGGTTTAATGAAACGTAAAAGCTTCCGCGCTTTGCGCGGGAGGGAGGGGGGGGGGGAAGGGAAAAACTGAATTCAGATGAGGATTAAAAGTCGAGAACGGTTCAACGAATCGTCTTCTTTCTCTAATGATTTAATGAAACGTAATAGCTTCCGCGCTTCGCGCGGGAGGGAGGGGGGAAGGAAAAAACTAAATTTAGATGAGAATTAAAGTCGAGAACGGTACAACGAATCGTTTTCTTTCTCTAATGATTAAAGAAACGTAAAAGCTTCCGCGCTTCGGTCCCACATGAGAGACTCCTCCTAAAACTTCATCATGCCGGAATCCAAGGATCTTTGCACATATGGATTAAAAACTTCCTTACAAAAAGATCTCAACACGTTACGGTTCTTGATGGTGCCTCCTCATCTTCCATACACGTCACGTCAGGAGTACCGCAGGGCACTGTCTTAGGCCCTTTGCTGTTTCTCATGTACATAAACGACATATCTGACGGAATAACGTCAGAAGTCCGACTTTTTGCCGACGATTGCATCATGTATCGGCAGATAAAGAGCAACCAAGATAGTCTTGATTTACAGAGAGACATCAATCGCCTGGTTGCTTGGGAACAACGCTGGCAAATGAAATTCAACAAAACAAAATGTTATGCAATGCATGTTACTCACAAAAAGAAGATAATCGAAACACAGTATCGAATGGGGGATTCCGTTTTGGAAGTCGTACTCAAGCACACATATTTGGGGGTAGAACTTGACAGTAAACTCAGCTGGGCAAATCACATCCAAAATGTTACATCAAGGGCTAATCGGATGCTTGGATTACTTCGGAGAAACCTCTTTAGCTGCTCTCCCAAAGTAAAAGCAGTGTATAAAACTCTCGTCAGGCCACGACTTGAGTACTGTGCCTCAGTTTGGGACCCTTATCAGAAGGAATACATAAAAACAACTCGAAGGAGTTCAACGACGTGCTGCAAGTCTTTCGTCTTGAACCGTCGTGAACGCCGGAGCAGCGTCTCTGAGATGATCTCCTATCTGAAATGGCAACCATTGGAGCACAGAAGAGCAGCCCAGAGGTTGACTTTCCTCTACAAATCCATCCACAACTTAATTGCCGTTGATACTGACCACTACCAAAACAGGTCATCTGGAGTATGTAAAGTGTTGGACACTAATTATGATTTATAATAAGAGTCTTCTTGAGGCTGGATTTTGTAGAACTCAAATATGAACAACTTGTTGTATTTATTAGATGTATGTGAAGCCGCATTACAATCTGCGGTAGCAATAATCATGGGCATATGATATAGGTCATTTGTTGAACATACATGTAGATATAAAATGATATCATATCACAATCCCTCTTCTCAATGAAAACTTAATTTCATATTTAGATCCATACTGTTTAAAATATCTTTTTAAAATTCTTTGCTTAAGAAATTAAACTTGTGCTAATATGAACTTACAATTTCGTCCCTTTCTTTGTTTGTTTGTTGTTGTTTTTTCACCAAAAACAATTTGAAAATTCTATCACATTTGTTTTTCATTTGAATGCGAATTGTTTGCTTATTTATCTAAAATGTTTTGATCAGACTTCAGTTATCATCTTGCTTTATAATGCAATAAACTTAATTAATAAACAAAACATGACATATTCAATATGTCTCTTTAAATCTAATTACTCAAAACCTTGTAAACATTGTTAAAGAAAGCAAAAGACAACAATTATTTGAATTATCTCCAACCATATCAATATTTTACATATCGTATCTCTCTGGTTTCTTAATAGTACGACCTGATCTGGTGGTGTATGGTTGGTGGTGATTCGATGGTGTGTCTGGTTTGCATTGTGTTTGTTCTGTTTGTGCATTCTGCTGGTCGTGTACATCATTATGTCTATCACTAGCATGTTGATGGTTTTGTTCCATGCTGTCCCTCTCTTGGGTTGGTTTGATGTGCCTACGATTTCGTCGCAGAGTGTAACCTGATGATGTCTCTACTTCATATGACCTTGGTTCTGGTCTCCTGTTTGTGATCTTTCCTCTGTCCCATCTACCAGTCTCTTGATTTTGGATTCTGACTTCTTGTCCTTTGTGTAGTGGGGGAAGGTTGGTAGCGTGCTTGTCGTCAAAGTATTTCTTCTGGTCATCCTGCCTGGTCTGCAGTCTCTGGTAGATGTCATCCTTTTGGGGTGACTGGTTCCGAATTCTGGTCGGTATGTTGGTTTGGATCTTCCTCCCCAGTAACAGCTCTGCTGGAGATGGTAGATGGCTGTCCAATGGAGTGGCTCTCAGGCATTGCAATGCCTTGTTGACGCCTATGTTATCTCTCTTAGCTTTCTTCATGGTGTTCTTGACAGTTTGTACTTGCCTCTCTATAAATCCATTGGATTGTGGATATCTCGGGCTTGAGGTTACATGTTGGAAATTCCAGTCTCTGGCAAACTCTACGAATATGGCACTATTGTATTGAGGTCCATTGTCGCTCATTAGTCTCTCGGGGGTTCCTTGTTCAGAGAAGATTTCCTTAAGCAGTCTGATGACAGCACTACTTGTTGCTTGCTGTGGTAACTGCTTTACAATTGGATACTTTGAGTATACGTCAGCAACAAGAAGGTACTCTCTTCCATCAAGTGTGAAGAGGTCAGTTGTGACAAATTGCCAAGGTCTGACAGGAATTTCATGTGGCTGCAGAGTCTCTGATGGCAGGGAGTTCCCATATTCTTGACATACAGAACATTTCCGTACCATCATCTCGATCTCCTGATTTATGCCATTCCAGAAGATACAGCTCTTTGCTCTCAGTTGGCATTTGATGATGCCTTGATGTCCCTCATGTAGCTTGTTCAGGTATTCCTTTGTCAGGCATTTGGGGATGACAATTCTTGAACCTTTCAGGATAATCCCGTCTTCAATGGACATCTCGTCCCTGTATGGCCAGTATTTAATCAGGCTTTTGTCAAGTTTACGCCTTTCTTCTGGCCATCCCTCTAGGATTACATCTCTCAGGATGCAAAGCTCACAGTCCTCTGATGTTGCGGTGCGGATCTCCAGTAGCTTCTTGTCTGAGAACATTACAAAGTCAACTTTCATGTGCATTTCACGAGACTCAGGAGGCAGAGGATTAAGTCTTGACATGGCATCAGACAGAAGCATCTCCTTTCCAGGTTTATATTTCACTGTCATGTCATACCCTTGGAGTCTGAGCAGTAGTCTTTGTAGTCTTGGTGGTGCAGCTCCAAGGTTCTTGAGAGTGATCATCTCTAGTGGTTTGTGATCTGAGAGGATAGTGAAACTTCTGCCGAAGACGAACGTGTGAAACTTTTCACATGCGTAGACAACTGCTAGCATCTCTCTCTCAATGTTAGCGTATCGCTGCTCGGTGTCTGTGAGGGACTTTGAGGCAAACGCTATTGGTCTCCCTTCCTGTGTGAGGGCTGCTCCAACGCCTTTCATCGATGCATCTACTTCTAGGACAACAGGTTTCTTTGGATCAAAGTAAGCAAGTGTGGTCTCCTTGCAGATCATATCTTTGATGGTCTCAAACACCTTCTGATGTGATTCAGTCCAGCTATATATCACATCTTTCTTCACAAGTTCCCGAAGTGGTGCAGTCAGTGAGGCAAGTCTTGGAATGAATGGTGACATGTAGGTCACAATGCCTAGGAACTCTCGGAGTTCTGTCACGTTCTGTGGTGCGTTCAGGGCTGATATGGCTGCTGTCTTCTGTGGGTCTGGTTGCACTCCATCTTTGCTGAAGACAAGGCCATAGAATCTCACTCGGTCTTGCTTGATGTGGCATTTGTTCCAGTTCAGGACGAGTCCATGCTCCTTTGCGACGCGCATCAGATTGTGTAAGTTGGCGTCATGTTCCACTGCCGTCTTTCCTACGACTGCTATGTCA